AGATTATATTTTTGTGCTTCTATTTTTGGATTAAGTGAAGTAAATTGCATATTTGGCGTAATACCACGATAATGCATACACATGGCTACTTTAATAAGTGATGCAACACCAGCTGCACCTTCTGTATGTCCTAAATTACTTTTAATTGAACCTAATAATAATGGTGGATCAAGATTTGATCGATTAAAAAATCGACCTAAACCATTTGCTTCAATTGGATCACCAACTGGTGTACCTGTACCATGTGCTTCAACAAATAATATTCTTCTTGTATCATAATTATTTCTTGAATAAATATTTGCTAATAAACGTTCTTGTCCAGCAGCTGATGGTACGACAAAATTTGTTTTTTCCTTCATTTCCATCATGACCACTAAGTACATCACGAACAACACAATATATACGATCTCCATCACGTTCAGCATCACTTAATCGTTTCAATAATAAAAGACCAAGACCATCGCCTATAAAAAAAATTTAATTGAAATTTATTTCGAGATAAAAAAGAAAACTAATCAATTGAATGGAATTTACCTTTAGCATAACCATTAGCATCAGCACTAAATGATCGACTTCTTCCATCAGGTGATTGTGCACCAATAAGTGAACTTTGAAAAAAATTTTCTGGTGCAAATACTCCATTAACACCACCACATACAGCCATATCAGCTTCATTTGTACGAAGACATTGTACAGCCATATGTAAAGCTTCGAATGATGATGAACAAGCAACATCTAGTGATACATTCGGACCTTGTAAATTAAAATGATATGATAAACGAGCTGACGCATTATATAATAAAGTATTAGGTCCATGAAATCTTGATCGATGTTCAGGTTTCATACGAGTTGTCGCAAGTGAATGGTCTGTTGAAAATTGCCCAATATGTACTGATGTTTTTGTACCATTCATTTTTTCAACACTATATCCAGCATCATCAAGTAAATGAACAAATTTTAACATAAGTAATCGATGACATGGATCGACACTGCCTGCTTCAGCATCTGATAAATCAAAAAAAACTTGCTTCAAACATATCCCATTGATGATTTGACATAAAATAACCAGCACGAAGAAGTTTTTGACGAAATTGTCCATTATTATCCATATTAAGCATATGACCAAGATATGATTCAAGATCAAATCGATCA